CAAAAGGTGAGAATAGTCTAGGTTTGTTGAAATCTCTTGTCGTTTCTTTGTTCTTGTCTTTGTTTTGAACAGGAATCCATCTGTTTTTCATTGCAGTATCAGAATTTGTTTCCATTTTCTCATCTGTGTTATCGATTCTTGGTTCCCTTCTGTTTTCGGTGCTGGTTTCGGTTTCTTGGCTGTGCTGATGAGTTGCTGAGATGCTTCCCTCATTGTAGTGTGTTTCGACGATTTCACTCCAGAAAGAGGTGCTGCTGGTTGTTCCTTGACTGTTCTGTTAGTCTTGGGTTTGTTCTGTGCCTACTTGTTGTTCTGTTTCCTTTTCTGGTTTGATTGTTTGTTGCTGGTGAGGTGTTTTATGGGTGGTCGACAATGCTGCTGTTGGATTTTTATTTCCAGGTGTTGTGTTGGGCTTCTTTGCATAGGGTTGTGCTCTGGTGGGAATAAATTCTTTTCCTACTCTTTTTTCATATCTTAAAGCTCGTTCTGATCTGTTGGAAGGGTTCGTAGGAGTCCCTTGGCTCCTATGGTTGTTGGACATCTTTCTTGTGAACGTTTTGTTTTCACCTTTCTAAAAAGGAAACTTGATACATTTTGGAAAGAGTTTTGTAATATTATTGGTTCATACAATAACTATTTATAGAGATCTATTAGTTTAATATTGTCTAATATTTTTGTTATTATTTTTGATAAGATAATTACTATTATATTTAAAGAGTTGTACTATTTTATAATATTTTAGTTTTGTTATATTAGTAAATCTAAGACATGTAATAAATAGAAATGAGTTTAAGATCCATCAGATTTTTTGTTGTGTTTCTGTTTATATATTCTATATCATATTGTTTTTAGTAGTTAGTATTTATTTTGTTTTCAAGAGCTTTATATTCTATTTGATAATTATCTTTTAAATGAAGAAAAATCAGTTTTTAAATAGAATTATTTTGGTAAAAATGATAAATTGCAGTTTTTGATAAACTGAACCTTTAGGTTTATTGGTGATTTCTTTAAAAATGCTTATGACCTCTTGAAAATTTGCATAATTTTGACTTAACTATATTGATATATCAATAATTAGATCATGTTTACTAACAAAAATTTCTTTTGTATTAATAGCCTATTTGGTTAAGTTATTATCTATTAGTTGTTATATGTTAAAATTACTTTTTATAAGCAGATTAATTATCTTTTGTTCTCTTGGATCTTGTTATCACAATAATAATAAGTTTGTTAGACTCTTTGTAATAATTAATGGTTTTAATGTTATAATCAAGTTATTTATAAGACTTGCTTTCTTATCTGAAGAAATTGAAATATTTTTAGTTTGTACAAGTGAGTTTGAAACATGGGTTTTTGAATTGACATTATGATTCAGTAATGAGTTTTAAAGTTCTTTCAGGTCAATTTACACTTGTTTGTTAAATTCAATTAGTAAGTTTATATTATTTACTGATATGTCCTAACCCATGGAATCTATAGAAATATTGATTACAAATACTGGACTAATTGGTTTGATTGTGCTGCTAGATTTGTTTTGATTGGCTTCATGATAACTGTATATTAATACTGTAATTATCAATCTGTATCATATAATCTGTGTCTTGTTAGTTGCGTATTGGAATATGGCTATTTGGATTGCTTGTATATATAATTTACATGATTAGTGTGACTGTAGAACTTTGTTGATTCTTTGTAGAAGGTAAGCTGTTTGTAGTTTTTAAAGTTTAATAGATTCAAGTATGGAGAATGAGTAATTTGCAAAATTGTTTGATGATAGAAAGAGGTTATTCTCCTGTACTGAAGTATTTGATGAAGGATAAGTGATTGTCTCTGATACTTTTTCCAGTTGATATGTGCTGTTCTTTTTGTTTATAATGTTGATTTGATTCCAGAATAGGTGCCAATTGTAATTGAAATTGCTGCTGATAACTTTTGGACTATTTGTTCTCTATTGACCTGTCCAGGCTTGTTGTTATTCTGGTAAGCAAAGAATTCCTCCAGTTGACAGCAGAACTTCTTTTGAGATTTGCTAGCTGTTATAATAATGAATGCTTGGTGGCTGGTCCTGGTGGTTTTAGAGATTTTGAATTCTATGTATATGGTTGGAATATCTCCCTGGTGCTGTGAAGAATTTTTCTGGACTGGAATTATTCAATATTTAGGAAACTTGACAAGTGATGTTATTGACATGTTTTTTCCTAGGAGGAATATAAGAATGGTATGTAAATTTATTTTCATGTAAATCATAGTAAACAATAGTTTGCTTGGGTTGATAAAAACAATGTCCAAGAGAACATGTGCTGGGTCTGGAGATTTTGCCTTGGCAAAGGAGCCCTCAAGGACACTAGGTTTGCTTTTTTTAAAATATATTGTCAAAATTTTCTATTTATAATAAATCTATAGAAATTCAATAAATTATTATATTAGAGTAACAATGGTTCCTCGAGATTTATTTAAAATTTTCGGCGATTTCGCAAAATTCGGTACGTGTCGATTACCATCTTCGATCATGTGATATATATAAGATGAACATAATTCGGAAATTTCACCCGAAGCACGCCTGCACAGGTGCTGCACGAGTGCGGTAAGGATGCATCATCGATTTTAAATTTAAGTTTGGAAAATATCAAATATCTAGCATTACAGATTAGGAAAAATACTAAATGTAGCGATCACAAAATTATGATGTAACTCGACCGTGACTGAGCAGACACGGTTGGCACTTTTTTTTATATGTATTGTAAAGCTATAGCACCCATACTAATAAAGTAACGTGAACCACTGCATCATATATTTATGACTGATCGCATTATCAATCTTATTTTTCTCCGTCTACAATACAATAAATATTGCAACTCTATAGAATGATACCGATACGGATTCTATTATTCCATGAAGAAGTATGACTCAGGAGACTGCCACCGCCTCTTTTACTTCTATTTCTAGTATCGAAGAGACTGATGAAATAAAAAAATATCGTTATTTTTGGTGGAAAACTGGCAACATGCATCCGAAGGCCAGGTGGGAGGAAGCTATGTCAGTCTCTTTCAAATTTGCTTTGATGAATGGATATTTTTGTAAACCAGTGTCTGATATCAACTGATATTTATTTTCAAGCTTGCCATACGTGCTAAAAACTGATGTCATCTTAGACGAATATATTAAACGAACAGATATGCATAATGTGCACGCCCTATGGGAATGGGAAGATGGAACTGTTCGGGTTATTGAACTTCCTTCGTCATTTCACGAGGATTGCATTGGTACAATTATTGGAGAGTTGTATAGCGCGCTTCAATCCGTAAAGAACACTCCTTTTGTCATTAAATTTTCTGGAGCGACAAGCGAGTGTTTTACTAATTTTCTTCATGCTATCGTATTATGAGTATGTTTACAATAATCACCGTCTTTGACTAAAAGCAACAAAAACACATGGAGGATGCAAGGAGCCAGATGGGTCTCTTCGACCTTTAGGAAAACCTCAAGTGTTTGGAGGTGGATCTGATGGAAGGGTATGAAGAGTTTTTAACCCTGTTCATATAATTGTGTTAAATTTCTAATGTTTGTGATATACTTTTAGAATAAACCCTGGCCCAATCTTATAATAGAGGTTGCTTACTCTGAAACCGAGGCACATCTCAAGGATAAAATAGAGAATTACTGGCTCCTTCCTAATAGA